AGTGAAAAATTTAAGGGGGTCTGAATACTTTCCGTACCCACTGTACATTTATACTGGTTTAAGGGTGAAAACGAGACTGTGTTTACCTGAGCAACAGGTGATTAATAAATTGCTTGTGTTGCTCTATTATTGGCAAATTTTGCACATATCTTTAATGAGCATAGTGTTTGTAAAATAATACCTCCTCTCTGCTCCACTCCACTATGTGTGTGAGCAGCTCAGCTCTTCCTTTCCTGCAGTGAAGAGAGGGAACTTCAGAGGAGAGAAGAAAGTAGAAACATCCGTGTTAAGAAATGTGGCACTAGAGTACACGTAAAGAAGAATCTGCAGTTGATCAGTTGAAGGATTAGCTTGAGACAGTTTATATACTGTAAATTATTAAGTATGACTTGTCTTTGTGTTTCAACAGCCAAGCCTCAGCCCACAACTCCAGAAAGCCGGTCTCCCTGTGTTTCTATTTGTAAACCAGACCCTGGTTCTCCAGAGAAGACACCAACATGTGGTGAGACCAAGCCTGAACCTGCACTTCGTCTCAGAGCTACATCCTCCTCAAGTTCCCCCAGGGGACCAGTAAGTCCCAAGCCACCAGTGCCACAGGGGACAAAACCTGCCTTGGCAGCCCGACCCAGCATTCCACAGAAGCCAAGGACCACCAGTAGCAGCAGGAGCATAGGTACTAACAAAGGGGGATCTGAAAAGGTCACTGCAGTGATTAACCTTCCTGAACCACAGTGTTGTTGGACTTGTTACTGAGTGCAATATGATGCAAGTTTTTTTTTCCTCTGCACTATGTACCAGTAGATAAGATCTGATTTAGTTACAGTACATAGACAACTTCAGCAGCCATATTTTGTCCTATGACAGCTAAGAGAATGTTTTATAGGATAAAGCCAGTGATTTTCTAGGTAGTTGGGTTTTTCCACAAATTCTTTATAAACTAAAATTTCACAGACTCATTGTATTGTCAGTCAGTCAGCACATTTAGCTCATGTATTTGTGCCGGAGACTTCCTCTGTTGCCCAGAAACTATTGGCCCACACCACTGCACTGGGTGACATATCGCTTCCTCACCAAATAATGAGGTGGTACTTTTTTCGAAAAAAGAATTCCAAATTCTAAGACATCTCAGGAGAGAGAGAGTCATCTGTGGCCGTCCATGATCCCTGTTCTAGCACAAAAAGCTAGCAGAGTATGTAATGGTGCTACACATAACTGCATGAGAAGCTATCAGAGGAGTGTGGACAGAGGAGGGATGATGCAGTTGACTTTTTCTTAGTTCAGAGACTCGAAAAAGTGATGGCCAGTTTAGGATTTGGAGTTTTTTTGTTTAAAAGATGTACCTCATATATTTAGAGAGGAAGAAACATCACCCACTGTGGCTTACTGGTCTGTTTTTAATTATGTTCAGACAACAGTAGAGGTCTGTGGTGCAGATGAATGAGCTAAACCAGGTTTTGGATTCACAGACATTACGGTGAGTGCACAAAACTCATTGTTGATTTTAGTCTCTATATGCTATTTGTGGAGGGGGGACCAGAGACAATCACTACCCTTATCCTTAAAGTGCATTTTTCTTACCATCTCTGTAATAGATGAGAGCCCAGATTCCCCCACCGGTGGCAGTGTTTCTCCTAAGGTCACAGTTCTCCCTCCCACACTAAAGAAGACACAATCAGAGAAAGACAAGGAGGGACAGGCTGCTCTGCAGTCAGGAGGCTCTGCCAACAAAATCACTCAGGAAGGTACATCACAAATGTGTCTATTCAAAACAGATTTTCCACTTCACTGAGAGTGCAGTGAAATGAGCAGTTGCTTTTTCCCCCTCTTAAAGCTGCATTAACTAAGATTTAGCCCAAAGCCCAGTCTTAAACCCCATCAAACATCTGCAGATGACAGTATACAGACATTCACCATCCAATCTGGCAGCCCTTGATAGCATCTGCCATGAAGAATGGGATAAACTGCCCAAATCAAGATGTGCAAAGCTTGTACAGACCTATCCAAAAAGATATCTGCTGCTGTAAATGCTGCCAAAGGAGCTACTACAAAATACTGAATGTTCTATGACCTCTATGACCATAGTTTCACTTTGTCATAATAGGTGATTCAGTGTATCATGAATGGGGGAAATATCCATGCAAAATTGATCCCACAACACAAAGTGTGCAAGAAGTAAAGAGGTCTAAATACTTTCTGAATCCACTGTAAATTAATATACTGAATCTGCAGAAAGATTCATCATACCGTTTCTCCTCTAGAGCTTTTTCATCAGCAGTGCTAGTGTGCCCATGTCCACAGGTGTGCAACGCTTGGGCTCGTATTTACACACCGGTGGAGGAATGACTTAAAAATACCTCTGAATTTAACAGACAGGGTAATTCATGCTCACAGTATCATGCATTAATTAACCAGAAGCTTCTTGAAGGGCTCTGAAATATGGCCCAAGAACTGAGGTGTTGGTTAGTGTTAGCTGTAATGCAGGCATTTGAAGGTGAGTCCACTGTAGTAGCATAGCTAATTACACCTACATTTATAATTATGACTCCTTATATATTTTAAAAATGCATCATTCCTTCTATTTTGTACTCTTCTTCACCTCTTTTACTTGTCTCATTTTCACCCACTTAAGCCTGATTTATGGTTCTGCACTAAATCTATGCCGCAGATAACAGGGAGCCTTGTACCTTGTGCCGTAGCCTGTTGTGCACCTTTCTAGAAATGTAACTGCATGTCGCAGTGATGCAGACGACAACAACTGTGATTGGTTGCATCACATTTCCTCGTTCATGTCTCTGTGGCCGGACAAGCACTGAAAATCCCCCCTCATTCTGCCTCATTTAGGTCAGTGGTCGTACAGACCATCTCCTCTGATGTCTCTCTCTTATTTGTGTTGCAGTAATTTCAATAATTTCATTATTAGTTTTAATTCCAACATGAGCCACCCAGTTTCAGTCACCGTTTTTAGTAAGTGCCCAAGAAACGTAACACAGTGGCACAGACAAACCATCTCTAGCTACTGTTTTGGAGGTGTAATTGCAGGCCGACACAGTCACACAAGTGTACAAGTATGAAACACAGAACCATAAATCAATTTTAACTCTAATCACTCTCGACACATTCTGGCATTTTCACCTCACCTCTCTCTCTCTCTCATGTTTTCAGTGAGGTCAGCATCTGACACTGTTCAGAAACCCAGCCCTCTTCGCACCAACTCTGAGGATCATGGCCCTTTCAAGACCAAGGACCGATCTGCAAACCCAGATAAAGACAAGGCAGCGGGCAAGAAGAAGTCATCGGAATCTGGGGAAGAGGCAGACAAAGACTTTATATTAATATAAGCCTCATGTGAAAAGCAGCTTGTTTTCATTTACATAAGCAGTTGTACCAATAGGTTTTGACTGACCCAGAAGTATAAATCACGTTTGGTATGCAGGAAGAGCCACCTATGTATTACAAAGTAATACACCATTTCCGATTTGATTATCAATAATGAAACTGATGACACTGTACTTACCTTCTCAAAATGTGCTGTCCCCTAGTAAATCAAACTGCACTACATGTCCTCAGAGCTTCCTTCTCACAGACAGCCTTTTCTCTTTATGTGCTTTCAACCTACTGTCTTCCGGCAGGTGAAAATGTCAGGACTTTAAAAATAGTTTGTGGGATGATCGAGCTATTTCAGCCAGTGAATAGTAAGACCTGAATTTGAATACAAAATGTTAAACCACAAAAAGAGACATGATGATGATGCTTTCAGGAAATGGCAGACATTTTATGTGCCAACACAGTGAGTGCGTACATCTAAAATCACATTTAACTAATGGTCAAATGTCTATTTGTTGCAGTAGCTCATCTCCCAGGGACCTAACACATACAGTAATAACAATACCACTATACTGTACTTAGCTCAAACATACAAAACCAGACAAGGACCCTGTAACATTTTTTTATTGTATACATTTTTCTAGAGGCTATTTTTAGGATGTGCAAATCACTTTTCTCTGAAGTTCAGAGGTGATTGAACCCATTATGCAATTTTTTTTTGTTTGTTTGTTTTACAGGACAATACAGGTTTAGCTGAGAATCTCAGTACAAGAGTGAACTCAGAAATACACATTCAATGTAGCTTCCTTAACAGTAAATCTATGGTTACTCAGAGGGGACTAACAGGACTCTTCACTGAAAGACTGAAGGATAGCGATGGACTTTATCAGCCCGACTGGAGTCACGTTTGGAGTCGGCGTGACCATATGAAGTGTGCTTTGAGAGGACTGTGGTACACAACTTCAGGCTTCTGCACTGTTAACTAACGCTTAACACTGTGAAAGAAATACTCATGTTTTTATTTTTTCCTTTAACTGCTGCTTTTTTTTTTTTTTTTTCCTTTTTTACAGAGTTAATGGGGGACGATTGTGTGTCTGTCAGAGTGCAATACAGAGTGCTATTGTAAACATTTCTGGCTCTTATGTTATTTGGTCAAAGAACTCTTCAGAACAAATAAACACTGAACTAAACTGAGTTATGCCAATGTCTGTCACACAGTTATACAGACTCTGAATTGCTCTTAAAGACAGACAGATCCTCACGTCATAACACACTAACATATTACGATTGTGAATGTTCCCCTAATCTGCTGATGGTCCAGTGAAAGCAAAGAATCAAAAAGAGGAATGACAAAGAATCTGCTTGACGGCAACAGGGGAGACGCTCATGTTTCCCATTTCAGTTGCTGTTCTGAGCTACTGTTTTACCTCTTTCTCTGTGTAAAAGTGGGACACTGAGCAACTCCAGCCTTCCAGACACTATTCTTAATCTGTTTTCTAGAGGATTTTACGTTGGTACTTTCAAATTCAGCTTACTTTCTGTTCAATCACCTATTGCCTTTGCCTTGAGTGAAAGGGAACAGGGGTTAGCTATTTTGACCATATAGACCTCTGGGTATGCATTTCCATTTTCAGGAATTTAATGCTTCACATCAACCACCACCACCAGACTCA